CATGGCTCACTAAAATCTCCCTGATTTTCTACCCCAAAATCTCTGCTCCTTGTCACTCCAAATTTCGACCAGTTTAGATCGAGCTGACCTTACTCTGATACCAATTCAAACAGAGAAGTCACGCTCCGAACTGCTAAATGTTCGCGACATCCCTCTTCGGTCGAATGATGCGATGTCCCAGGGTATCGCCGACCTCACTCATAATCATCGATATTTAATTCAACAATGAAACCACAAATCACCGGACAATTTGAAACCCAGGGAAAAACAGGAGAATATACATATTCATTTCCATTTACAAAAATTATATAATATTCATAATTTACAAACCATCATATACATGTGCACACCGTACTATAAAACCACCGATATTCAAAAAGGATCGATGACCTGGATATTCTATCGCCAAAATTGATACCCCTCAACAACCTTCTATTAACCCTTAAACCTAGCCCCTACGCCCCTTGCTCGGCGTCCACTCTGAGTCTGACTCCTCGTCCTCTGAATCCGAACTCTCTTGAACCGTCTACTCCTCCGAGGACTCTGGCTTTGCCTCAATCTCGATCGGGTGGTTGATATCACCCGACTCAGCTGGAACTTCGTCCTGATCCTCCTCAGCCGGCTCCTCCAGAAAATCGTCCTCGGGCACGAAATTGGGATCCATCCACTGCTCATACGGAAGTATATACTCCGGTTCCTCCTCAGGCTCTACGGACTCAGTAGACTCATCCTCGGGTTCCGCCTCAGGTTCTACCTCCTCTGGTTCTTCCTCGGGAATTGGCTCTAGATCTATATCCATTGGGTCGAACTCGGCTTGCGATCCTTCGGGCTCGGGTTCGTGCTCAGCCCCTGACGATCCTTGTGCCACATGCGCAAGATGCAGTCCAGACTGCGCTAAACTAGTTTTCGCACTAGTCAATTCACCGTCGGGAGGGGGTACGGCAGTCGGGTCCCAGTCCCCAACTAAATCAAAAGGGACGTCAAAACCGCGGACGGGTCCAAACTCGTCTACCCCGTCCCTGAAGAACCAGGCGGTATACTTATGCTCTTCCCATAAGGGTACACCTACGTCTACAAAAACTGTAGTAGTATGCTTAATCCAGGTCATATTATCAGCCATGGAAAACTCTAAGACTTCGAGTTCGGTGTGCACCGGTACTCCAAAACGCTCAGGTGGTGGCGGGGGATTCATTGTTCCTGCCGGGGGATTCATTGTTCCTGCCGGGGTTCTGAAATGTTGGGTTGAAACAACCGTGAGACTACATCTCAGTAAGTACACCCCTAAACCCCACCTAGGCTATCACGTACCTCCAGACAACCACGCAAAACACAATCACACACATCCAATCATCACATAGCAGGCACATCAATTGATCTTACCCGGGCCTATCATGCATGCTACCTGCACGTTAGTCACAATCACATCATAGCAAATCACAACGTTCATATCTCATTTTTCGCATTCGATCCGGTCTAAACATATCTTTTCCACCACTTTCGCCAGTGACCCGCGTTACGGTACACACCTCAGGTCCATTGCGACCAACTTATCACAACACTCCAGGGCCAGCGTTACAGTACACGCCTCAAGGCCATGTTTCTCGCCGCGTTACGGACACGCCTCGGGCTCAACATTCGCCACCTACTTGCACAACCCGCGTTGAAGTGCACGCCTCAGGTTGGCAGTCTTCCGGTAATACCGGGCATCGTCCCGCGTTGAAGTACACGCCTCAGGACGGCAAAATTTTCACGATCGCACATGCCACATCACATTCACTCTCTTGCTCGTGCACATGCTCAACAGTTACTTCTCACTCAGTCGGCCAAGCACACGTGGTCCGTGCACGCATCAATTCACACACAATTCATGCTCGTTAAGCATTTGACATGGCCAATTAAACAATTAATTTAGTCTGGCCCAAGCGTGCACTCAATAGGCATATTTCAATCAATTAATTATACAACCACGCACCCAATTCTACCACCACGGTTCAATCACAGTATAAATACATAACCAACACACAAATTGGCATTTTTCTATACCCAAACCGCGCCAAATCAGTTCCGGCTCTTCACGACATTTTTACACCATTAACCGTCGGTTCTAAATATCCAATTTGCGCCCCGAACCGAACATCACAGCACCTAAATCAGCCAACTACAGCCCACTATTGAGCTCAAAATTTCCACCAAAATCTTCCAATTTAATTCCTAAGGCCCGCTAAATAATTCCGCCCTTAAATCATACAATTCCGCGCCTAAACAAACCCGATTTCACCCAAAAATTATCCGTCGATACCCGACGTCCTAGCTAAGGTTTAGGATATGACTTACCGAGCCCTAGACTATCTCGGCTAGAGCGAAAAGCGGCGGCGGTTGACGGGGATGGCGGCGAACGATGGTACGGCTTGGCAGCGACAGTACGGCGTGCGACGGCGGCGCGGCTTGCTCAACCGAGACCCATGACCTCACGGGCAGGAGAGAGAGAGAAGGAGAGGGACGGCGATGAGGGGGTGGTGGCGGTGGTACGGCGGCCGGCGTACGGACGGCAGCGTGGCGCAGCGGACGGCGCGGCGTGGCGCGGCACGGCGGAAGGGAGAGAGATGGCCGGAGAGGGTGGGTTTGGTGAGGGGGTGTGCCGAATGGAAGGAGAGAGAGAGGAGAGAGAATGGGTCTTGGGGCCTTTAATAATCAAACCAATAATTCAATAGCCAAAATGACGATCTTGCCCTTTACTCACAAACCAAACCGACAGTCCAGATTCGATCTTATCTTGAAACCGACGGCCGAGATTGAATCTTACCCAAAATATCCAAGGGCAATTTGGGAATTTCTCAAAAAGTCCAAGGGTAAAATTATCATTTTCCAAAACTAGGGCAAAATTACCAAAATACCCCTCCCTCATAAAACATGCCCTTCACAAATTCCCAGGGGCAAAATGGTCACTTTTCCATTTTCTTGCCGAAATTGAATTTTTCTGAAGGATTCGGGACATTCCAAATATTCACGTTCAAGCTGCAACGTCGTCCTAACGCCCCGTTGTGACTTCCTAATTTTCCGGTGTCCGATTTGGGCTAAATTAAATAATTAAATTTTATTCAACGCAACTCGAACGCTTCTCAAACTAACGAGTGGCTGTTTGGGGAAATTCGCATATTCGACCCGTGACTGATAATAAATCGAGTCACATGCAAATTTATTCGGATCGTGACGACTTCGGTTGTCATTTAAATCGCGAGGATCGATCACTAGATCCAAGAGGTACGATCGTTCGGTATAGGTTCAGGATCATTCGTCAATTCATTTCGTGGTCCGTTGGTATCACCCGCGATCCACTACTATGACAGTGGCGAACTGATCCCTGACTATCCTTGGATCGGCCGATAGTGGCTCAAAATTTCACCTCGGCGATTTTATGGTCGAAAGTCAATTCACGATCGAATTTTCTCTTAGTCGTACGAATTTAATTCCCTGATTAGCCTTTCCCAAATGGTTAGTATCCCGGGAATGATCAGTTCCGGGCGAGAATTAACTGCGAGTACATTTATAAAACTCAGTATTTTACAAATCCCAAATTGACTAATTTTCAGGATGTCACATCTACTTTTGTTTAGAGTCTACCTCTTTGAATGCGTACATAGAAGGGGAAATACAGCTTTGATTTTTCTCTGATCTACTTTCTGTGGACTCCAGACCTTAAAACTGGTTACAACCTCTAATTTGAATTTTAAATCAATTCAAAAGAGATCCAGGTCTTTTTATCTAGGTAGTAGAAGCATGTCACACGTCTTCCATTTCATCGATAACGGGCTTCTACTAGCGGTCCTTCCAATTTTTTCACGCTTCTCACTGAAATATGATTGTTCACTAACTACCTCTGGTCCTTCTAGATATATTGACAATCCAGATTTTACTCAACTGTTCTCTTTTCCTTGGTCCGTCCAAGTCCTCACGAACTCTATGTTTTATGACTTGTTCACCTTCTAGTCCAGTCCATTCAACTTTCAGACACCATTTGCGACATGATCTGTCTATTATTTGTGCATCTATCAACAAGTTCTACATAAATAATATATGCATTAGTAGCCCTTGATCATTTTGTCATATTCAAAACATTATAGCGAGGTTTTCAATGGGGTGAAGATGGGGACGGTTGCATCAATCTCAAAGTGATGGGCTAAGTGCGTAGAGAGAGAGAGAGAGAGAGAGAGAGAGAGAGAGAGAGAGAGAGAGAGAGATGGGGGGGAAGGGGGTATTTTAGTATTGTAGCCGTTTTAGGTAGGTCGAGTAAGGACAGTTGAAAGGGCAATTTGTAAAGAAAATGAGAATCTGATAATTAAGTAGATAAGGTTATGATGGAAGATGCAACTCGGAATCTATTTACAAAGATTTCTGTGGATCTAAATTGGCCAAAAAAAAAATCTCTGTGAATCTAAAGATGCGGCCCCAACAACAAAGGAATGTGAGTGACTACCGACAATAGTCTCAGACTTATCGCAATACGGATTGTGAGAACAAATTTGAAATGATAAACATACATATCTTCGTGGGTCAAGATCAAGATGCTTTTCCGCGTTTAATTTTTCCTCTTGCAATTGGGACGGCACATTCTGCAGCAAGCTGTGGGTCATCTGGGGCTTAACAAAGCTTGAAGTACAGGTTGGTGATTTAACGTTTAAAGGATAAGTACATGCACCCGTGACCTTGCAAACCTCTCCTAGGGGCCACAAGTCCACTAGCTCCAATGGGTTTTAATCCTTTGATAGCTATATTATTAGGTTTAACTATAGTTGCCAAAAAGCTTTCCACAAGCACAATTGATTGTGCAATCCATGTGGAGTATAGATCTAGCTTTGATACTAATTGATGCAAAATAGATTTAATTATAATACCAATTGATGATGGCTCCGATACCAAATACGAGGCGGAAGTGTGTTGAAATTCTAATAGAATTTCTGAATTCCAATGTTTTCTGGCCCTTCAAACTCTTGGTGGGCTCAAAATCAGACACTTCATCTGGTCTGCTTGTCAAAATGCTCTCCCGACTAAGGAGAATCTATACAAAAGGAAAATGGTACCTGACCCTCTATGCCCAATCTGCCGAGTGCATGTGGAGACCCCGGAACACCTACTTCTGCTCTGTAAATGGGCGCGAGAAGTCTGGAAGGCACCGGTACTGAACATCCAGAACTCTAAATTCCAAATAACAAGAATAGATGAATGGCTGAGACACCATATCCACAGAAGCAACAGCTCACCTGGTGTAGAATTAATCTCGGTAGTCCTCTGGGAAATCTAGAAAGCTAGAAACAGCTTTGTCTTCAAAAGACACCTCCCAGACCCGGAGCTGCTGGTTGAAAGAGGACATAATTTGCTCAGGAATTTCTGCAGGTGGAATAATCTCGCCAACGAACGCCCAGCCCAGATCAGCGAAGACGACGAAGCCTGGATACCTCCAGCAAGGGGCGAAATGAAAATCAATATAGATGCAGCTCACCAACCTGGATCACTCGAAGGTTCAATCGCCTGTGTCTGCCGCGACGCAGATGGAACTCTGGTCGACGGATTTGCAAAGGACGTCCCTACCTCCTCAGCCGAGCAAGCCGAATGCCTAGCAATGGTGGAAACCCTCATATTTCTCTCCTCACGCGCGGATGAAAGACTGACTGTCCAGTCAGATTGTCTAAATCTGGTCAACGCATTGAAGACTACACAAGCTTTGCCGTGGGAACAGAGGGCAATTATTGCTGAAGCACGTGAACTGCTGACTTTATTTTCAAAGTTAGACCTGCAATACTGTAATAGAAACTCAAATAGTGTTGCGGACTGGGTAGCAAAGTCCCACCGGAACAAAACACTCACTGACGACTGGCTGATTTGTCCTCCGCAGGCCCTTAGAGACTTGCTCTGTTTTGAGACTCCCAAAAGGGGTTATGGTTCTACTAGATATCAATGAAAAATAGTTCAAAAAAAAAAAACTCTTGGTGGGCTCTATGTTATCTCAATCAGGATTTGGTAATTGTCACCGATAAATAAATGAATAAATAAATGGACCCACATCCAAGTGAGGCTAGCAAAGGATCCACTGTCCAGCAGATGAGTTTTGACTGACTTTTCAAATGCTTATAGACCCTGAATATATATATTGTACGAGAACCACTAGAATAGCCACCCGGCACGGTGCGTGAGATAAGGAGCCCTGGGACACTAGCTCTTTTCAGCCAATTATGGGTGGGACACTAGCTCTTTCAGCCAAGTATGTGTGTGGACTATGAATCATGAGCAAGTACTTCCTTCTGGTACTTTAATTGAAAATCTATATAAAAAATGAATGAAGAGAATATTTAATGCATTATATAGAAGGGATAATGTTATATATGACTACCTTATTTGATATGCCATGGCAACTCTATCCAATGAAACCTTATGACTATATTTAAAGCTATAGTGACTTCAAAGAGAGTCAATATATGCCTTGAAGACATATTAATACTCCTTTACATCAGATTCGACCTAAGCGTTAGACATCACAGTCTATCGAGTGGATTGAATCATGGCAACCTTGCCCTTGGCAATGTCCTAATATCATTGAACCGCGATGGGACTAATTGATATTCTCTTTGAAAACCTTTGCATGATGACGTTTGTCATTCTACCAAAATGCACCTATGGAATGAATAATTAACACATAAGTTGGGATGCACTCTTGATTATTATTTGCTTGAATGCTTTCCTCAAGCTCACTCCTCGAGTGTGCACGAGCATCGGGGTCTACGTATGCTTGTGTGTGCGGTTCAGAGAGAGAGAGAGAGATGCTAGCTCTCTCATCTCATCCATTCATGGATGACCCAGGCAGCATGAGAATTAGAGATTTGAATCTATCTTGGATGAGATATCTGGGAGTAGGATGTTTTTTTCCCACCTCAATCTCTCATATTTCCTCCTTTTCACTCTAATTGGATAATATCATTAACTTCACTAAGTGATTCTTGTGGGGCTGGGAATCTTGGGACAGATTGCCCAACTGTCACTCGTGACCCACCATCCCACAAGCCCATGGACTCAACTTCCTCACCCATTCCTTCCCTTTCCTATTTAAAAACACCCTTCAGATCCCACTCAACTGGAGAGGGAATGAAGAAAGGGCCAAGTGACTGAAAATTAGCAACACTTGTTCGGGTTTCATCCTCGTAGACAAACATAAGATAGAGAAGATGGCTATAGAGCCCAGAGAGTAGAGCCAGTGTGTCTTCAACGTCAAGCTTAGAGATTTCGGAAGAGAGATAAAAATGGAAGTAGCAACTCTGGATGTAGAAGATGATGTGTATTTTGCAGACTTGAGCAAGCAGATTTCTCTTCTGATCATGGATGAAGATGAACACTTGTCTGTTACTCAACAGCATTCTGCTCCTCTCCAGGTTCTTTTTTCAACTTCCCTTCACTGCTATATTGATGTTATCTGCCTCTTCCTAGCTCAAACAGCTATGTCAAATCACATTGAATAATTCAATGGGTCATTGCTCATAGTATTACCTTGGAACGTTTCTCATATTTAGATTTCATGTTAGTTCGATTCGCTATATCCTTCCCAGAAGAGTTTTGCTGCTAAAATTTGCAAAGTTTATTATGGAAGGAGGATTCATATGATTCGGCTGAATTGTTTTGTGCTGCATAGTTTTTTTTTTTTTTGGTAAGGTTTAAAAATAATTTTTTGGTAAGGGTTTTGTGCTGCATAGTTTCTTTTCAATTTTTGGTAGAATGTTTAAACCAACTCTTATGCAATCATTTTCAATACCCATCTGTGAACTTTGCTTGAACATTGCTCCACTTAATTTGCAAATTCTCCTTTAGTTGCTAAAGCTTAAAAATTTGGGGAACCTTGTGCCGTAGTAGTTGTATTGCTGATGATGCAAGTAATCTATCATTTTTCAGTGAAGTAATTGTAGCACAATAAATCAAGATGGTATTTGAAAATGTTGAAAAATCTCAATTCTGATTGATAATACTACGTGAAATACATGAATTTGTTAGATACTTCCTCCGAGCGGTTTAGAGCTCTGTCATTTACTATTTTCTCCATATATCTCAGGGTTTCTCAAGATTAGAAATCAACTCATCATCCACGCCATCTCCGTCATTGCACGAGCAGGTTTGCGCGAGGGAAAGCAAAGGGACTGGTGTCTTCATTCCCAAGTGTTCTCAACCGAGAAGAAGAAGCAGACATGGAAGATCTAGCTCCAGCTTCAACAACAGTGCAAGATCGTACAGGCAAATTGACAGCACAAAAAGGGTCTCTCAAGCTCCTCAGGCCAATTCTTTTAACCCCAAGACTAAATCCTAGGGCAATGGATTCATAGAAGATAATGGTAAAAACACGATAAAATCAAATGGTTGGTGCTGGGCAAATGGGTCCAGTTATTAGGGAAGAAGATGCTGATGTCATAATTCGGATATGCATGATGTTATGTACATGGTGGGTTCTCAATTTTTGGGTATCGTGAGGCCCATCAATCAAATGGTCTTGTGGGTCTCCTGATAAGATAATGGCACTTGTCTTCGATAGCTAGTTTTATTCATCGTTAGTAACCATATTGCATTTATTTATAAATTTATTTACTAATTTATTTCTACAGGCCTATTATATAATTTATAACGTGTAATCATGCATTAAAATGGACTTAAGCTTCGAAAGTAGAAGAATTACCGATAAGGTAGTGGCTTGGAGGGCAAACGACTTTGTTTTTCTTTTTGTGGTCTTGATTTCAAATTTTTGTGGGAATAGTTTAAAAGTAAAATCTTGAATGAACCAGGACAATATAGGGAAGCGTCTCATTAAGATTGCACGGTGAAATGCACTAGTTGAGTTGCGCAAAAATTGGCCTTGACACTACCTCACTGCTAAAACGGAAAAAAAATGCATAAAAGAATTACTCAAAGATATATTTATTTAGGCCAATGCCTAAAAAAATTACACAAACTTTTACCATTGTGAAAAATTTAACATGGCTTGTCAAGCGTACCAAAAAACTGTACACCTTTTTACAATCATGACAAACTTGACTCCTTTCTAATAAAAAATGCATAACATTCGGCCCATGTGACAAAGATAGCATTAGTTAGCGTTTCATCCATAACTGAAAGGTTTGAACCTTTTACTGAAAGGTCTTAGTCTGAAAAAAAAATTCAGTGCTTGTAAAAATTTTATCGGTGTTTGTTTAGAGCAGAATAATGTGATCTCAGTAACTATGAGAAATCATGAAATCGATATTAAGATGGAAGTGGACCGTAAACAATTTCAGTATTAACTTTATTTGTCTATATATTGCAATCACCTTACTATCATGATTATCTCCTCATATATTTTTTACCTAGAGATTAACCTTTTCACCCCCAAAAAAAGTAGTTGTCAATGCAACAATTAAAGCTCCAAACATCTGTCTAGCTAGTTGGTGATAATTGATGAACATGTCACTAGATTCACTTGGTGGGGGAATCAGTCGTGCCATAACTCATGTTACCCCCGAAATTTCTGCAACTTTATTTTTGGCATTGTCCCTACCAAGGGTTAAATAATTCTATGTACTTTGGATTGGATGGGTGACATAGAGAACAAAAGATTCCCCAGCTTGCAAAGCCAGCCTGAAAAGAAAAGGACTCTTTGATGATGTGAAAGATTGTTCTCTGCCATTATAGTTGGCTTCCATTAAGCGGCCAATTAATAAGCTCAAACTCAAAATATTAATAATGGAAATGATGATGATGATGATGATCACGATAATAACAATCTAAGTTATTATACTCTATTTGTTTTAAGAAAAATAAATAATTTAGAAAATATTTTTTAAAAATGATTATTAATATCATTTGAAATAATTAGTCAATGAAAAATATTTTCATTACCGATAACAATTTATGTTTAAATATTTTCATGAAAAATGAAAATATTTTTTGCTCATCTAATTTTTGTTAGTGATATTTATGAAAATATATTTTAAATTATTTATTTTTCGTAAAATAAACAAAGTCTTGATTGGGTCACTATTGAACCTTTCATAGAATCACGAGATTTGAGAATCTTACCAACAAGAAAGTTTGTCATTTATAGGCCGTCTTGATCACGGTCGAATGTCCATTCCACAATGTCACTGTCCAAACACTCGAAATGCTTGCAAGGGATGTCATATTTCAAGAGATGACTTCCAATAAGACAAAGATCAAATGATTACGGATGTAACCAAGTCAAGTAATTTGCAATATACACTCCAATTCGACTAATATCATTCAAAAGGTGAGTTTGAGTGGCTTCAACATTAAATTGAGCTGGATTTTGAGCTTACGATATAGACAAAAAATCAAACACTCCCGGTGCCAATAGTACACAATCTAGAAAAATAGATGGTTTTTTCACTAAATAAGGTGAGTAACGCAAGCTTAGATATGTCGAATGTCCCGTAGCTTAGTCTTTGAGCTTGAAACGTTGAGGTTAAGTCCTAGAAGCTAGAGAGTCTTCATAGTAATACAAGGCTCTAAGCAAGATAATCATCAATGGCAAAGCAATAGAGAGAGAGAGAGAGAGAGAGAGAGAGAGAGAGAGAGAGAGAGAGAGAGAGAGAGAGAGAGAGATTTAAATCTCAAATTAGAGGTGCCTTTTTCATTGTAGGAAAGCTGTTGCTAACTTCACACGTGCGAATCTCATGGGTTGCCTCAGTTTTCAGTCATCTTCAGCTTTCTCGCCCCGCCCAATGCAGACATTCCAGGATTTTATCTTCTTCTTCTTTTTTTCCAATTGCACCCTTCTTCTGAATTTTCCCAACTGTGGCAACCCTTGATTCAGATTTCAACTCGTGACATTCTTTTAAGTCGTTTGGACCATGTGTGAGAAGGGCCATCCTTGAATCTAACGTACTTTTACAAGCTTAAATAGATACAAAGTCTACATTACTCGTTGCATCGCTAAAACCAGGTTGGGTTTGCAATTTGCATAGCAAGATCTCATGCCATTCTATTTCTCATTCATTCAACAAAGAATGTCTGTTCTTCTGTTTGAAGGTCAAACTCAATTTTGGGGTTGCATGTAGGCGAACTTGGTTATGGTGTCTGTCGGTTTTTATGCTGATAGTAGTCCCTTTTCTTTATTCTTATCTTATCGATTGTAATGGGCATATAAAACTAGAGTCGGCAATGTGGATCAAGAAATCATATTTAATGGGCATTCGACTATTATGTAAAACAAAAAAATTGGGTCCCCAAAAGATAAAACCCAGCAAAACGGTCCAGGTTGGATTAATCCTAAAGCCGTAGGATAAAGGACCAACCCACATAGTGTCGGTTCTAGGGATTCCAAGACCAGGGATTGGCCCACTCCCTCTGGGAACTAGACCAAGACTAGCCCAACCCGGTAGGAGTAGGGTCAGTTCAGGGTTAACCCCGGATCGATCCTCACCCCTACCCATTCTTCATCTCCCCTATCTCGTGGAGGTTGTGCTTGTGATGAACTTTATGGCCTAGAAGGTCAAACGTGATCAAGCGAGCTATGTGCAAAGGTAGAGAGCGGCTTTAGTGATCAACCGCTTCAATGATCTGCACTAGTGAATCGATCTGCATCATTACAGTTACAGTGTAGACGTGCAGTGCTCTTTCAACTCGTCCTGAAAATTGTACTTTATCTTGAGATGAAGGATCTGATTATTTATCTCTATGTTTCATAGGGTATCCCAAAAGGGGTGAGCATCGGTTCAAGGCCAACCTTGGTTCTTGTTTTGGTCTTGGGGTTGCTAGAACTTTTATTGTGCAGATTGGTCATTGGTCCTAGGGTTTTAGGGTTGGTCCAGCTTGTAGTTACCTTTTGTTTTTGTCAAAACCCTAAGTATATAAATACAAGTGCCCCCCTCTTCTTCTGCCATTTTCCTCTCTCACTCTCAACCTCAATATCATATAATTGCTAAAATCATCCATTTCCATCTTTTTAGGGCAATCTCTTTGTCTTCTCTTTACTCATTTGAACTCAGTGATCGATTCTCTTCTCCTCCCTTTCACGATTCTCTACTTTTTATTATCTATTTTATTTTACATGTTCGTCTTCTATGGTTTGTTACTTTTAGGCTCCGTTCGTTTGGCGGAAAATATTCTCCTTTTGGAAAATATTTTCCCGGAAGTCATTTTCCTGGAAAATGTTTTTCCAGAACATAATTTTCCGGTGTTCGGCAACCAATATGAAAAAGTTTCGGAAAATATTTTTCATCGGCGACCAGCCGACCCGGCGGCGGGGCGGCGGTCGGCCGCGTCGGCGGGCTGTGGGCGGCGGCCGGCGACCGGGCGGTTCGACCGGCGACCGGCGGCGTTCGACCCGGCGGCCGCGGCGGTGACCAAGTGGCGTCGGGCGGCTGCGGTGGGCAAAGGGGGCAAGCGGCCGGCCGGCGCGGCGGCGGCGGCGGCGGCAGCGGCCGGCGGCCAACGGCAATGACCGGCGATCAACTTCTTTTCCCACGGAAAACATTTTCCCTCCCATGGGCAATTTTGCCTTCACTTTGGGGGAAAATGATTTCCTCTTTGTGAAAAAAGGAATTCATTTTCCTCAAAACAATGAAGGATTTGAGGGTGGGAAGGAAAATGTTTTCCCACGGAAAACAATTTCCGCCCCCGAACACCGGAAAACGCGGAAAATATTTTCCGGAAAAATATTTTTCCTCAAACGAACACAGCCTTAGTAAGTGAAGATTTTTGTTATTGCCTTATTATGGATTTCTGTTTGATTTGAACCGGTGTTTATCATTTGGTTGCTCAATGTCGTATTGTCAATGGATATCTAATTTTCAAAGAGTGTGTTTGTCCCCTCAAGGAATATAAAAAAATGAAACAAAAAAAAGAATCAATTGGTCCCTGGATTATGTACTGAACAGGCCCAACTCGAACCATGCTCACCCTCAAATCCTAGTGCAAATCTTTTCCATTTATAAATTAATAGAATTTTTCGTATCACAATATTTACGAAAATTTCACTAGGATTGACGTGGTAATGGAATAGAGGCAACGGCGGCGGCGGCTATGACATCCGAAACTTTCTTCGTAGTTTATGATATTTAAGAGGTTAAGTAGTGAGAGTTATTCAGATAATAAAATTAGTTTAGTGATTATCAACAGGGACCGATACGCTCCAAAATACATATCGAATGATTTTCAAACATTAAAATTTTATTGATTTAATGTGTCACTTTTGTTCTATACTTTTTATTAATGATTTTAGTGGTTTCAAAACAATTTTCTGATTTATCGGTATTTCAAACGAATACCGATTTCTCTGTTTATTTACCGCAATGTATAGAATCTACCCAAAATAACCTAATATCTCCAACTTTTCAATTAAAATATGCCATTTGTCACTATATTAGCATGGACAAATGTCTTAACTCTCACCTTGTCTTTGCCACATGCCTAAATTGAAATGCATTGAACCTAAGTCTATGACCTCATGCATGACATATTACATTTTTTAACTCTAATAACTTATTATCTAAATGTAACTCTAGTTTTTTGGTATTATTATTTTTAACCCAAGCCATTTAATGTGACCCCAAAC